AAAGAGCGGAGGTTAAATAGGCACCGACTAAATTAGTCCTGTAACATAACAATTGCTAAATTTTTTTTTTCTTTCGCGGAAGATTGGTTTTGTGAAATGCTTGTCCCAATTAGGCCGTTGAAAAAAAACATCTTTTTTTTTCTTTTCAGTTAACCTGGAACGCGATAGCGTTATCGGGCCCCGTTCGCAAAGCCTTCTCATATAATCCCACGCTCGCTCCCAAGCCTTGCAAGCGTGTGTGCGTGGCATAGTCGGTAGCGTCACTTGTCTATGAAGAATCACGTGTCACGTAACGTCACACAGACACGTGACGCCACCGTGACGTCATGTGACGTTACACGTGAGCGTTGTGGGTTAGAAATACCACTTAAGGCCACATGGCCTGACGTCACACGCTTGACGTCACGAGTGGGTGCTACATCATGAACCTATCAACTCGCTAAATTTTCCCACCAAATTTTTCCGCTAAACTTGGCGGGAAAAAGTTTCCGCTATATCTGGAGGAAAACGTTTTCGCTAAAATTGGCGGGACAAATTTCCACTAACTTTAGAGGAAACTTCTTGCGCCAAGTCTAGCGGAAATATTTCCCGCCAATTTGGCGGGTCGATACGGTCATAACGCCACAGCCACGTGGGACGTTAAAGTGGCTTTGACGTCATCACCCAATCGACCAACTAAATTTGGCGGAAGAATTTTCCGCTAATTTTAGTAGAAAAGTATTCCGCCAACTTCAGGGTGATCAATTTTCCGCCAAATATGACGCCACCGGATTTTCTGCGGCACGAGCTCCTTGAAGGGATATTACAACAAAATTTCGTCGCTTCTTTCTTATCCTATTCCTGTTCAACGAAGCAGTATCACATCACGTACACCAATTTCTTGTTAAAAAAGTCACAAAAAGGAATTTTAAAACGGAATGAACGATTAGCAATGAGCACCTAGTGGATGCCGGTAAAGTTTCGTTTGGAATGCCCGTCAAGGAACCTTTACAAGTAGTGACAATGCCTGTCTCGCCTCCGGCCACCATGAGAGAAGTGACGGAAAAACCCCCTTTTCGCCGGGACTCTCTCTTGTGTGTCCTATAGTCCGTCTACAAGATTATAGAGCTGAAGTGGCCAGGCTGACCCGGCCTAGGAGTCACAAACAAAACCACGAAGGTTACAAGAGCAACGGAAAAAGGGGGGGGGGGGGGGGGGGGGGTGTTGACTTTTGCTTAGAGTAATAAACAAAACCCGAATCACTTTCAATCTATCCGAGTCAGAAGCTGTCAAACTGTACGTATAAGGTCGCAGTAGCAGAAGACTACCAGGCTGCAACCTGTCTCTCAATTTAAAACGCGTTCCATTTCTCTTCTTGGGGAAGTGATCGTGTGACCGGTGGGTAGGCGGGTGAGCGTGTGTGTGTGTGTGTGTGGGGGGGGGGGGAGCAGCGAGCCGCACTTAAACACTCGAAGAGCGGCATGCGCCTCGCAAAACGCAGCTTGGCCACCTCTGTTATAGAGGATTAACCAGTCAGTCAAAATTCGTACAAAACAGGCTTTGAGATCAGTTGCGGTGGCGCTATCGCTGCCGTGCTTCGGCCACTCCGGTGGCTGGCTGGAACTGGTAGGACATCCTGTTGACGTCAGTGCCACCGCACATTCACTCATCCCGAGACAATCTACGTCACGATTGCGCCGAATGTCACGTGCTCTCCCATGGCTGTTTTCGAAACGCTTGCCAGAGGGGACCGTTTATAAGTAAAAATACAGCCATCAGGCTCAAAATACAAACGTGGGATTGCATGATCCGAGAAGCAGCCGCTACTATCCTGCCCCTTGACAAATTCAATATAACTGTAACTTTTATAATATCAAATTTTTATTGCACAGAAAGAAAGAAAGGCAAAGTAACGTGCAGCCCGGAAAAAGAACATGGAGATCCTTGTGCAGTTCCTGACAACCACCGGAAATACTATGTAGCTATACATTTGAAAAAAATGTACTCACATGTGCATGCATACACACACACACACACACACACAAAGGAAACAGTGGAACTCAGAGAGAAAGCAACACATCATACATTAAACAGCCCGTAAATCAATTTCAGAAATCACAGTTCATACACCACGATCAAGAATTTTTTTCTAAAAGCGCTAAGTAACTGGAATTTTGAAAGTTCATTGAGAAACAAATTATGGTAATGAGGTATCCAAAAAAGTGAAAGCTGCTTACAACTCCCTGTAACGCCGAATTAGAGCGCAGCTCTTGAGGAGGAGGAGGGAAGGGCACGGGGGGGGGGGGTTAAACTAACCAGGGGGGTCACGTGACCCCCAATGCCGATGATGTCATCACTGACGTCACTGATGACGTCATCAGTGACGATGACGATGCGGGTACCGACGACGTCATTAGTGACGTCACTGATGACTTCACCAGTGATGATGACGATGACGATGCGAATGTCGGTGGCGTCATCAGTGACGTCGCTGATGACGTCATCAGTGATGATTACGATGACGATGCGGATGTCGGTAACGTCATCAGTGATGATGACGATGACGATGCGGATGCCGGTGACGTCATCAGTGATGATGACGATGACGATGCGGATGCCGGTGACGTCATCAGTGACGATGACGATGTGGTGCCGGTGACGACATCAGTGATGACGTCATCAGTGATGATGACGATGACGACGCGGATGTCGGTAACGTCATCAGTGATGATGACGATGACGATGCGGATGCCGGTGACGTCATCAGTGATGATGACGATGACGATGTGGATGCCGGTGACGTCATCAGTGATGATGACGATGACGATGTGGATGCCGGTGACGTCATCAGTGATGATGACGTCATCAGTGATGATGACGATGACGATGTGGATGCCGGTGACGTCATCAGTGACGATGACGTCATTGGGGGGTCGCACGACATCGGCGGGGGTCACGTGACCTCAGGGGAGTCACGTGACTTCGGGGGGTCACGTGACCTCGGGGGGGTCACGTGCCCCCCACGAGGTCACGTGACCCCAGTGGGGGGCTCGCGCAGTGCATTATGGGACATTTCCCATGATGCACCGGGGTCACGTGACCTCGGGGGGGTCACGTGCCCCCCACGAGGTCACGTGACCCCGGTGGGGGGCTCGCGCGGTGCATTATGGGACATTTCTCATGATGCACCGCGCGGTTACGCCGACGCCGACGCCGACGGCGACGCCGACGCTGCTCAAGCCGGAAACGGGCCCCTAAGAGCTGCGCTCTAAAAGATCGTACTATTTTTAGAGCGCAGCTCTTAGGGGCCCGTTCCCGGCTTGAGCGGCGTCGCCGTCGCTGTCGGCGTAACCAAGGTCATCCCAAAGTCCCTTGACCCCCAAGGTCATCCCAAGGTCACGTGAGCCCAAGGTCACCCCAAGGTCACGTGACCCCTCCCCAAAGGTCACGTGACCCCCAAGGTCACGTGACACCCAAAGTCACGTGGCTCCCCAAGTCACGTGACCCCCGCGGTCACGTGACCCCCGATGACGTCATCAGTGACGTCACTGATGACGTCACCGGCATCCGCATCGTCAGCGTCATCATCACTGATGACGTCATCAGTGACGTCACTGATGGCGTCACCGGCATCCGCATCGTAGTCGTCATCATCACTGATGACGTCACCGGCATCCGCATCGTCATTGTCATCATCATTGATGACGTCATCAGTGACGTCACTGATGACGTCACCGGCATCCGCATCGTCATCGTCATCGTCACTGATGATGTCACAGGCATCCGCATCGTCATCGTCATCATCGCTGATGACGTCATCAGTGACGTCACTGATGACGTCACCGGCATCCGCATCGTCATCGTCATCATCATTGATGACGTCACCGGCACCGCATCGTCATTGTCATCATCACTGATGACGTCATCAGTGACGTCACTGATGACGTCATCGGTAACCGCATCGTCATCGTTACTGATGACGTCATCGGCATCGGCATCGTCACGTGACCCCCCTAGGTCACGTGACCCCCACCCAAGGTCACTTGACCCCCCCAGTACCCTTCCCTCCTCCTCCTCCTCAAGAGCTGCGCTCTAATTCGGCGTTGCAGGGAGTTGTAAACGGCTTTCACTTTTTTCTTTCACTTGTATACCTACGACAACCAAAGCGTGATGCCCTGCGCGCCCGTCTGTCACGGCTCAGCTTCTAAATTTGACGAAAGCGTTTCACGCCTGCTAAATATAACGGGAACCTTTCATTTCTGTTGGGTCATGCTCCAATTTAATTTCCCCGCTAAATTCAGGAAGTAAACCTGAACTGTTGTATATAGCTGTACACTAACTCACTGCCCTGCTGAAATTAGTAGGGGCAGTTTTTGTCTAAATTTAGTGCAAAAACCGCTAAATTTAGGGAAGAACTGCTGCATGATACACCAATTCAATTTAGGAAGAATTGGCAAGGACTTGGCGCGAAAATGACGCCGCTTTGAGGCACGCCGAAAGCAGTGAGCTAGATCGACGTCTGAAGAAAATAAACGGATCCAGAGAGGGGGGTAATGGCCTTACTGTAAATGAAATTACTTGAATCGAAAGTACTTTTTTGTGTAATTAGTAATATAATTAATTACTTTTATTGGCTGGCAATTTAGAAATGTAATGAATTCTTTCAAGGCAATCATCTTAACAGCATTACTCATTGCTTTCGAAATTACATTTCCGAGGCCCATCTAAGTGCAAAATGTTTGACGGGATACTCAGGTGCGAGACAAAGACATGAGTGCATGCTATTGGGTTGTGGTCCTACTCAGGATCCTCACTGACAGTGAATAAAAGACAAAGCTATTGATTGGCGTTTTACATGCATCGCAGTTTAGTATGCGTGTAGGAACTTCTGAGAGTGTAGTTCAACTTCTTAACATATTGCAGCTTGGCGTTTATTATCGAATGCTCTCAGCCTGGTTCACCTCTCAAACAGGTAAACAGATTCCACCCTGATTTCGAACTGCCGCCTTGTATCCTTTCAGGTGGGATCTTTACGAATACAACTTGCTATCCTTTTGCATACACTAATGCAAAGTGTGCCGTTGTGTTGATGAATCATTGGAACCATGGTAAGCACTCGATATCCGAACCGAGCATATATTTCGTAAGAATTAATGATCATTCAATCTAGTCTACTTAATTCATTACATCTTTCTGTTTATTGTTGTTGTAAAATTAAGAAACACTCCCACATTATAGCAGCTTGTTCGAAAACAGGAGCACAGCTACCTCGCCGTCGTCACCGGTCACACTTTTATATGCCTACCCTTCAGTGAGTCAGTAAATATTTTCTTAGTGGGTAGGTGACGCCATCTCTCGACCAATCTTGGGCTCATCGACCAAGATTGCTCATTGCACTGGCGTGCGGTCGTGCATCACGTCTGTGTGATGCACGTTTAAGACCCCAGGCGTACAGCGCTGGTAAATTTTATCATCTACAGAACGCTGCCTAAACATCTAACTAATTTTATTTTTGCCTCTAACACTATAAAAAGCGAAAATCTGTCCTCTCAGTTAATTCCGAGTCATTAGAACAAAAAAAAAAAAGAAAGAGAGCGAGAAAGACAGAGAAAATATTTTTATTGTTGAACATACAAAATTTCCGGCGTTGGTTTACTAAGACCGTACAACAGACTGTTTCGTGATATTAACCATCTAAAGAGCGTATTTAAACGTAAATTAAAAAAAAAAAAAACAATCTAGGACAAAAAGCAGACACGAAGTAAATGAAAGCTCTGTCCCTCCTTTAAACAAGGGTGTTTCGATTTCCTCTTTGCGTTACATTAAATTTGCGTTGAACCTATTTTCTTAGGAAAAATGTTGATTTTTATTGCTTATCTGAAGGAAACGCGGAGCATTCAAGCTAAAATATTTTATTTTTGTTTTTGAAGCGAGCGATTTTGTAAATTCTAGTATAATGTTTTTTTACTAAATTGCTCTACTTTTTTATTTAAGCTGCCAAAAACCAGTGCAAAGAGGAGACCCCAAATCAGGAGGATGGAACTGAGAAAATAACGGCCACTACTGGTAAAGTGGGGATATCTTATTTATCTATTCATGGAACTTGCCTTCAACGTCACTGTGCAATACAAAAACGCTATGAGAAAACATGTGAATTGAAGGCAGTTTAAGCAAAAAAGTTTTTGTGTTGTGCAGAGGGTATCCGACCCTTGTGAAGCTCCTCAGATGTGACCTGTGACACTGACCCAAAAACAAAAATCCGCCATCGGTCCTTCGGATGTAAAAAACACTGGAACTCAGAATATAAGACAAAATAGTTTTCAATTTTGTGGTAGTGAAAAATTTGTCCAGTGTATATATATATATATATGTATAAAAATTAAAAATGTTTATATATATATATATATATATATATATATATATATATATATATATAAACATTTTTAATCTTTTTGAAAATGTTTACACATGGGTTCTTTTATTTGCATGATTTGAAATGAAATTTCCTAATGGTTTGTTAAATTTGGCCACCATGGAAGCTTGTCATGAACGAATGAAATGCATGCCCATTTTTAACACAGTCAATTGACGCAAACATAGATCTATCCGTTGTACTTATGAAACCGATGCCAAGAGAAACACATTTGTTATTGTGATTCGTCTGCCTTGAATTGTACAACAGTTCACAAGGCAATGTATTTTTTTCGTGTGTGTGTTGGTTTACATGCCAATAACAAAGACGGTAACCCACGCACACGTCGCTTTCTTTTAAAGGGTTTGAATTAAAATACATTCGTTTATGCGTTCCTTGAAATATTAATATCATTTGAAAATCACAAACTTATATGAAGCGTCACGAAGCAGTAGATACAGAAAATGACCTACAAACACGTCGTTCAGCAATGGTGACAGATGGGCCAGTTCGTACATGACTTCTTTTGACAAAATGCGCCGCAAGACAGGGACAGTCAAAACGATCCGTTTTTGATTCGTAATTAAGAGGCGGCCATCCAGTGCTTGTCTGCAGATGTTTTCTATTCGGGCGAGTTCTCCATCGCTGCAGAGGACTTGTTCTATTGCATAGGGCACGACGAATTGTTCCCTGTGTTTAAGGCAGTGCATAGAGCGTAACGACGAGATCGCGTTTAGGAACTCCAGCGGGCTTAGTGTGGACTCATTTATAGAACTGCTCACAAGTTACCTGGATTCTACCATTGTGTCTTTTGAAATTGACTTGTATGTTCAAAAGCATCGGATCTGTATTAGGTCACGAGTCGCCCCCGTACTGTGCGACATTTTTTTGGCGCGATTTGGCCAGGAAGTGTTCACCAGTCTAAAAGAAAAGGGGGATGTTAAGATACTAAGATACGTGGATGACATCCTGGTGCTGGTACCGCAGCCCACTGTGTTGGATGACAACCTCATTTAAAGAGTGCTGGGGAGTTTCAGTTTGAATTCGCGTGGACTAACATTTACTCGTGAAACAATGGCTTCAGGAAAGCTTCAGTTCCTAGATTTAAGTTTAGATTTTCAAGAAGAGCACATGTGCTGGGAGTACAGACAACACTCAAAGAAAACTGTCTTGCCCTTTAATTCAGCAAACTCTAAGCTGGTTATTGACAAGTCGTGCCAGCACGCCATGAAATGTAGTTTTATCAACCAGGTAGAACGCCTAAAGTCGTCGGGTCACCCTGATCGTTTTCTTCAAGAGGTAGCTGAAACACTTGTTTCCAAGATTAAAAAGAAAGAATAGGAAGCACAGGATCCCAGGAGGAGGCTGAGACCTGCTGTTATAGCCTATATCCA